GCAAAAAAAAAAAAAAAAGGCAAATCTGTTCTTTTATCAAACATTCTGTATTTTAAAGTGAATTTAAGTGTTGCCTCTAAATGCACAATTATCAGGTCTACACGACATCCTTAGTTGACCTCGGTGGGTTGCTGTTTGTGTTTTCTTAGTTTCAGTTTAAAGAACACAGTAAGAACAAAAGTCCATAGTGTTTATTCCGTTCCTGGCCTCAGCTTCCCCCTCACCCCCTCCGCCCCCACCCCAGCCTTGCCAATTTGTAAACAAATCAGAAAAATCCCCAATGGGCTGAAAACCTGTCCATGGTTTACTCCAGCTGGAAAGAATTGTGCTCCACCAGGACTCAGACCCCGTTTATAATGGAAACCCTGACGGGCAATGTTGTGATTATAGCCTTGCCATAATGAATGGATCTGTGTGGTCAAAGTCACGGATTTTTCCATGGTATTTTTCCATGGGAGATTTCCTCCCTCAGAGATGTGAGCTTGAAATCTGGATTATAGCTTTGACTTTAGAGCAGGATCTCCCCTGGCATCGGGATACCTTGAAGTTGGTGATTATATGGACTCTGGTGATCATGATGGGCAAGGGGGATCTTAGTCAAAATGATTTTTTGGCAAGACTGACGAGGACAGGGGGTAGGGATTTGGTGTCAGGAAACTTGTACCATCTCCCAGATTTTTAGCCAGGGAGGATGGTCTCTGCTCTCTGGGCTGGTGGCTACGTTCAAGGACAAAAAGTGAATAGGGCTGAAGGGCATTAGGGTGACCAGCCATCCCAACTGGCCTGGGGGCTGTTTGGTGTCAGCCCTGAAATCCTGCAATGCAGAAAACCCTCCAGCCCTAGGGAAACCAGGATGGTTGGTCACCCTAAATAGTATGGAAAATTGAATTAAATTCAGGAGGGCAGAAAAGTACTAGCCTGTTTTACAGAGGTTTGAAGTACAATCCTTTCTTGATGCTTAAAATATCTAAGTATAATCAGCATTTAGCTGGAGAACATATTCAGGAAACAGCCAAAAAGAGCATTTGAATGTCCTGACTGTGCGGCACGATGTAATGTGAAAAACCACGCCAACCACTATGATGCTGGCTAACAACTTCAGAGCTTAACCTCTCCTCCGGTTTTATTTTATTTTTTTAATTTTATTTTATTATTTTATTTTATTTATTTTAAATTAAATTAAATTAAATTTAATTATTTTTCCTCTGGTCTTTTGGAGGCACAAGCAGAAGGAGGCACGGCACGGGGGTGTCGGCCCCCCCAGGAGGCTGCCACCAAGGGTCCTGGCACCCCGGGCCTCTGCACGGTATCTTGGCTGCTCTGCAAACACCTCTGGTCTCTGCATGAGGGATGAGGGAGACAAGGCAGTCGGAGGCGCACTGGGGGAGTGGGGAGCTGGGAGCTGGGGCTCGCTACCCGAGCCCCTGCCTACTGCCCTCCCCAAGAACCCGTCTGGATCTAAATAAAATATTTTTAAAAGATAAATAAATCCAGAGCCTCATCAGGCGTGCATTAACCCCTCCTGTGTCGTCAGTGCTGCAGCCACGGGGCCCAGGACCCTGGGACGCAAGGTGGCCGTGGGGGACCGCCGCACTGCCCCCCGCCCCATGGACGTTGGGCCTGGCCACACGGCTCATTGAGGCCGCAGAGCGTGGGCAGGACTGGCAGGGTGCGCGACGCCCCCGGTCCTCGGGGAGTTTCTGGCCGGCGCATCCACTGTTCCCCTCCCCCAGGCACATGTGGGGCACACGGCCTTTGACCGGCAGCCTGAAGCAGAGCCGCTGGGGATCCCCGGGCCCCGGAGGGAAGCCCAAGTGCTTGCTGCTTTAGGCCGCCCCCGTGTTTCTTCGGCCCCCGTGGCTCGTGCGAACTTGCCCGCACCTCCTCAAATCGGGTCCCTCTGCAGGTGTAGCGCTCCACCCGTGTTACAGAGCAGCTGTGACAAGGTGCTCCACACTTGCCCTTGTCCGAGGCTCCCTCCTGAGGTCATGGGAAGGCATAAAGCTTCCATTCTCGCTGTTGGGCTTTCTTGAACATCGAGCTATAACCGGACACACGTTATATCAGTTTCAGGTGCACATCACGGTGATTTGACGTTCGTCTCCATTATGATCTCATCTGTCCCCACGCAGTCATACTTTGTAGATAGAAGGTGCAAGACAACGAGAAGCAGACGCATATTTAAGTGGCCACAGCCGGGGGGGGGACACCCCTACAGAGACAAGGGCCGAGGGGAACACATGGTGGCGTCACTCTGCTCCCCCCAGACGGGGCTCTGCACCTGCTGGGCCACGGGAGCCTCTTCTGTACAGGACTCGGTCGCATCCTCCCGTCCTCAGGCATAGGCAGCAGTAGGAGGAGGGCAGGGGCCAGGCGCTCGCTTCCTTGGTGCTGCCGGCCGGTCACCCCGGTCACCCTGCAGCTGGCTGCGTCCTCGCCAGCAGCACAGAGGGGCTCTCCGGGGCCCAACAGCACCCCCCTCCTTCCACCCACCCCCGGGGGGGGGCAGATGCAGCCAGCTGGGGTGCCTCTCCTTGGTTTCCAGAACTCCACCCCACAACTTTGCAGCAGGACTCGCGATTCCCCCACGTGAGTAGGGGAGAGGCTGTCCTGCCAGAAAGGCAGGCGGCATGTAACGGTCCCACGGACACCTGCTTCCAGAACGGCTTGTTCGGAGGGAGCCTGGCCGGCTCAGTCGGTGGAGCGTGCCACTTTGGATCTCGGGGGTTGTGAATTCGAGCCCCACGTCGGGGTGCGGCGATTACTTTAAAAAGCAAAATAAGAAGAAACGAAAAAAAAAATGGGAATTCGGAAAGCTTTGCTTATGGAAGTACAATCCTTGGCCATCCAGGAAAAAAACTAGAAATTCGATTGCCCTCGCTGGGAGTTTGCCTGCCACACGCCACCCACCGGCTTACTCAGTCCCCAAGACACATGCTGCCACAAGCAGCGTGCAATCGCTGCACAAACAGGGGCATCGGCCCTAACCCCCTGCAGGTTCTGGAGAGCCTGGGTTTCCCAGCTCTTTAAGGACGCCGGGAGTCCCTTTCCTGCACCCCGTGTGGCTTCCTGGGGCACGAAGGAAGGGAAGCAGCCTTAAGTGAAGGAAACCAATGCGGCAGGTGCAACAGCAGACGGAAGAGAGAGAGAGAGAGACCCTTGGGGCCGAAACCACGGAGTGACACGCGCGCCTTGAAGTTCTGGGTGAGGGCGACTCGCCGAGGCAGTACTGCCAACAGACTAGATGCACAATGTGCTGCTGAGCTGAGCTAGCGGCTTTTAAGCTACTACTGAGGGGCGCCTGGGCGGCTCGGTCGGTGAAGCGTCGGCCTTCAGCTCAGGTCAGTCTCAGGGCCCTGCGATCGAGCCCTGCGATCGAGCCCTGCTCAGCGGGGCGCCTGCTTCTCCCTCTCTCTCTGGCCCTCTCCCAGCTCATTCTCTCTCTCAAATAAATAAATAAAATATTTTTTTAAAGCAGTTACTAATATTCTAGGGAGAGATGCGTAGCCTCTGACGTCTGGGAGCTGGGCCGGTGCCCACAGTCAGGTCACGTCTTCTGTCGGAAGCACACGAGGTCGAATACCTGCCGCAGACGAGGCCGTGCGGAGACGGAGGTAGGAAGCCCACACCCTCCGAGCCCTTTCTCCGACCGGTCCCTGGGCCGCCTGCAGGGGTTCGCACCCCCTGGCTGTGAGGGGCCACGTGCAGGGGGGCCCACCCCTCCCCTCCACCTGGTGCTCTCGACCTCCAGGGCTTTGGTCCTTCCCTCTGTGTGTCTCACTGGTGCCCCAAGGACCCCGACCGCAAAGACCGAGACAAGGGGTGTGATGAGGTGGAACCGTCTGGTCGCTGATTCAAGGTAGCAAGGGCATTTGGTCCCCGCTGGGCCCCCACACAGGGGGTGACAGGCTAGACGTCCTGGCTCAGAGAAGTGCCTTCTCCTGTCCTGGGCAGAGTCCCCAAGGCCGCAACCCACGCCTTCCTGACAAAGAGCCTCCCCTTGAGCAAACCCTACTCAACCCCCCCCCCCCCGAACTTCTCACCGAGGTCTCCTTCCAAGTTTCTCTCTGCTTTGTCCAGGCTTAGCAAGAATCCTGCTAAGTCGACGTGAGCAGAGGCCTCGCGCCGGAGGTCCGACCACCGTGTGCACCTGGTCCAGCTCCCCGGGCCGTCCCCAGGTGATGTGGGGCCCCTGGCCTGCCGTCGCCTGAATCCTCTCTGGCTGCTTTAGCCAGAGCCTGGCCCTTACCCCTCAGGAGACTTCCACCCCCTGGCCCCCTCCCTGCTCCTTGGCCGTCAGGCCCCAACCATCCACGCTGTACCCGGGACTGAGTCCCATGTGGGCTTTCCTCTTAACCCCTTACTGCAATAGTCCTTGATAGCTTCTGCTTTTGAGGCTGTCCAGCTCTGGTTTCTCTCTGACACCCCTTCCCGGGCAGCGGCCCGGGGCTCCTAGGGCTACCTGCCGTCCCCGAAGTCCTGAGTCACCGTCTGCCATCCCCCATTGGTGTCCAGCAGGGATGACGACAGCCTGGCCGCTCACTGCGAAGTCCCCCTACGTGGCCTCTTGGGGCCTGAATAGTGTCCCTGGACCCAGAGGTGTTCTGTCAAGGCAGAAAGGACCACCCGCCGGCAGCGCCCCGCCGTCCGTGTCTGCACGGCCTCCTGCGTCAGTGGGTTGGGACTGTGCTTTTCAAACCAGCTCAGAAGGAGGCCCATGGAGAGGATGGAAACACCCGTCCTCAGGAACCCATTTCAGGGGAGAGCTGAGCTCACAGGGAGCCTCGCACATGGACCAGAGCGGGGGGACCATGTGGGGGTCAGGGGAGGAGAGGAGCCCCCTGACTCAGCTGCCGGCCGGCTGGCCTGGGGGAAGGAGGCCTGAGTATTTAGCAAAAAAAAAAAAAAATAATAATAATAATAATTTTTTTTTTCCTGCTAGAGGAGTCTCAGGATATTTGCATTTTCACTTAGGCCGATGACTGTAAGCACCGCTTTCTCCTCTGCATCATCCTCCTACGAGGTTTCATGGAAGAATGCAGGAAGAAGACGTTTTCAAGAGGTTAATGACCACTCAGTGTCGGGAGAAGGGAGCTGTAGTAAGAAGCCGGATGGAAACAGAACCAGAGTTCTGCTCAGGCTTTGCCTTTGAGTTTCCTAGAAGCCACAGCAGCAAAAGTAAAGTGAAATAAAATAAAATGGGATCATACGGTTCCTAAGAGAAGCAGGCAACTTTGACTGGACGCCCCTCTGTGTGTCCTCCCCCGACTCTGACGGGCGCGTGTGCCTGTGCACACGTGTATGTGTTTGCAGGGGAGCTCACAAATGGCCTGGTCCAGTCCCTCGGGCTCCACTTGTGCAAACCGAGATCCAGAGGGAGATGCGCCGGGGGTGCGGGTGTCAGAAATGGGATTCTCGGGTCTCAAGGCACAGTGGGTGGCCCGCCTGCTGTCCCACCCGCCGGGCCGGGCTCATATGAAGACACCCGGCCAGGTGGTGAGCCGGGCCTCTGGCTGCAGCCCCGCGGGCAGGCTCACACTTGGGAGTGGACGTGAGGCAAGGCTGGTCTGCGGGCCACAGGCTCCGCTTTGGCAGGGACAGCGGTTCTGGAAGGTTCCGGTCCGTCATGGGCTCCTGCTGCTCCCCACGCTCCGAGCTGCCCGGGGCTGTGCCCACGAAGCTTCTAGAGGGGCCCAGGCGGAGGATTGGGCTGATGTCGGCCACGGCGGCAGGAAAGGGCCGAGGGGCCGGCTGAGGTGGGGACCGTGGCCTCCTGCCCGGGGCGCAGGTGCGCGGAGTGGCCTGCCCGCCTTCCTGCTGCGGGGACAGGCCCCCCTCGGCCGTGGCGCTGAAGTCCCGCGTGGAGCCCTCCGGGCCCTGTGCTCCTGTCCGCGCCCCTGCAGCCCTGCCCTGCAGCGGAGAAGCTGTGCTGGCTCCCTCCCCCGGGCGGCCCTGCGTCGGGGCAGGTGGCCACTTCTGGCCGGGCGCTTGGTCGTGCTTGTTGCCGGCCAGAGACGCGAAACTGGACGCTTCCAGCAGGTCGGCTTCTGCGCTCAGGACACCTGGAAGGCCAGAGCCTTTCTCCAAGGCCTGGGGGCCGGGGGGTGACGGGGAGAGCTCTTGCTGGGCAAACAGGGGCTTCCCGTGCTGCGTGGAGTGCTGGCCCACCCCCCGGGCAGGGGGACCAAAGCGGCCAGGACTGTCTTCTCCAAAGGCTGCGTTGATCTTAGACATGTTCCCTGTTTTCAGGGCAAGTTTCAGCAACAGCCAGTGATGGTGACTGAAGAAAGGGTCCTCCCGAGCGGTCAGGCTCTCCAGCCCGGCCTCTGGGGATCCCCACTGTGGGCCGGGGGCCCTCCCCAGTGTGGTGAACTCGCCGCCGTCCTCCTGGCCTGTGCCTGGGCTTCCCCGCGCTGGAGCCGGGCCCTGGGGACAGGACTCCGCGTCCGCTCCATCCCCCGCAGCGACGCCACGGCCCCCCAGGCCGCCTGCAGACGGAGGACGGAGCAGCCCATAGGAAGTTACCAGCGACACGCTGCCTGGAGAAGGAGACAGAGAAGCGCACGTGGTGACGCTGTGTTGCATCCCGCATCCTCCCCGCGGCTGGAGAATTCCAGAGTCTGGAATCCTGGACAGAGGAATATAAATGGGATCCACAACAGCACCACTGGGGGCACCTGGGTGGCTCAGTGGCTGAGCATCTGCCTATGGCTCAGGTGTGACCCCGAGTCCTGGGATCCAGTCCCGCATGGGCTTCCCTGCAGGGGGCCTGCTTCTCCCTCTGCCTGTGTCTCTGCCTCTCTCATGAATAAGCAAATAAAATCTTTAAAAACAGAAAAACAAAACAAAAAACCCCAGGACTGTTGTTGAAGCATCAGAACTGGATATCTGGGGGGAAGTTAAGGAGGCTCCAGCTTCTACAAGCTGCAAATGTTTCTAAACTGAACCAAGTAATAACAAAGTTTAATCCTATGGATACCATGACTTCTTTCTCTAGGGCAGCTGTAGCTGAGCCTTCTGGGTGTGTGTGGGCACACGTGCACGTGTGTGCGTGTATGCGTGTGTTTGCGTGTGTGTGATGTCCAGTAGAAATGCTGATTTTGCTTTCAAATAACTGGATCAAATACTCAGAATGCAGCCATCCACACGCCAGCTGATGGAGTCCAAAACTGGGGGTGGGGGGGAGGTAAGGAATAACCTCAAAAACAAGAGGAAACCCAAGGAAACCCAAGGAAAGGTCAAACATATTCATCAAAAACCCATATCAAGGAATTTCCATGAGCAGCAACAACACTTCCTTTGTGCATAAACATCTTAATCACATTGTTGTCAGTTTAATTTATTTTGATCAGAAGTGTTGACTACGGCAATAATTTCTTTAACAGAGCATTCCAGTAACCTCCCACGTTATTTCCAGTTTCCTGTTGTACTAGATCAAGTGCCTGGTTTCAGGGCGCTCGTTATAAACAGCATTTCTTGCTGAATTACCTGAAGTAGAGGCGGGCAGGAGCCGCAAGGGGGCTGGCAGACTGCGGTGTGTGGAGCTGGGGGGCCTGGAACAATGATCCCTCCGATCCTGCCTGAGGACTTTTGGGGGGATGAGGCGTGGGGGGGTGACAAAGCAGGCCTCCAGCTGGGGCATGGAGACAGCCTTCCCGTGGAGGAGTGTTGGCTCCGCAGTGACCCCTCCAACCGCTTCCACACATGATTCTGAATTCTCACTGTGCCAGTGGGGAGACGGCCCCTTCTTTTATAATGAGCTACCCGAGGTCAAAAATTTGGGCAATTCACCCCCCTCCTCAGGCAAGTCCAAGTACATGCATTTAATGAGTAGCCTTTCTGCGAGGCCGCGTCATTCACAGGGCTCTGGGCTGCAAACCCAGGCTGGCATGCAGTAGGTGCTCAATAAATGTTGGTCAAGGGGGTCAGGATGTGAGCCAGGGCTGTCTGCTTTAGAGCTTGGGCACCTTGACGGTAGCTCACCCACCATCTCAGGCCATCTGGGCCCCCAGCTGACCTTGCCCCCGGCTCCCTGCTCCCTCTGCCTTGGGTTACTGAGAATGAAAACATCTCTCCTCTCTCTTTAATTTTTGTTTCCCAAGTGCAGAGGGTGGCTCCTTTTCAAGCTTACGCTCGTCTGTCAGCTGGGGGGGGGGGGGACAGGGGGCTCAGCACCTGGAGTCCTTCATTCATAAAACTGAGCTAAGTATCCAAGCCTGCCAGGCACCGTCCTGGAGGCCGCATGGGAGCAGCGTGTGAATCCCTCGTCCACCGCCTACAGAATGTCTGATTAGGGGACACTACCTAACCTCCTCTGTGCCACCCTCCTCAGGTCTGACCTGGGCGTAATGCAGCACCCATGTCCTAGGGCTCTTGTTGGTAGATAGCATGTGGTGTCACTTCTGGGGACCCCGCTCTGACCCTCCCCCAAGGCTAGGATGCTGGGGTCGAAGGGACGGGAAGTCGCATGCTTGACCCCAGCCAGAACCCCGGGGACAGGGGGCCCCACCCATGAGTCCTTTAGGATAGAAGTGGACAGTCTGGGTCCAGCGGGTCCGAGCACAGTCCAGCACGGCACAGGAAGGCCGGGCTCAGCTCTGAGGCCCTGGTGTGGACATCCTGCTGCTCCCTTTGGTGCTTTGCACCTGACCCGTCCCTCCCCCTGACCCCTCTGAGCACATTCCAGCTCTTAGAGTTAGTGCACTGTAGAGTTGGCCGGAGGAGGGGGCAGCAGGAAGGCGACACCGGGCCTTACCAATCAGAAATCCAGACGAGACTCCAGCGATGGTCCACAGGCTGGTCTGGGAGGCGCCCTGGAGAAAGTCGGTGGCCAACAGCAGAAGGACGATGTTCTCCAGCAGCATAATCTACGAGACCAAAGGGAGAGTCAGCACCCTGGTTGGGTGTGCGTGGCCTCGGGGACAGTGTCCTTCAGCCTTGGAGGCTCTGTCCGCGATGCCCGCTGGGGTGATGCCCACAGCCCACCGGGCCCCCCAGAAGCAGGGCCAAGGTCTGAAGGAGCGTCTCTGGCCCCAGTTCTCAGAGCAGGTCACTAAAGCATCCGCAGAGTCATGATGCACGGGGGATGCACGGGCGCAGCCCCCGAGGCCACGGCGGTCCCCTCCCCGAGTCAGGCAGGGCGGAGGGAGGAGACGGCCACTTCCACACTTCCAACCGCACACATGTCATGTCCACACCTTCACTGTCCCCGTGTACCAGTTTTATAATGCGATCATCGCACGTATCTGCACGGCTCACCCTGCCACTGCGCTCCAGTAAACTAGCATCACAAACTTCCAGAACGACGTTGGTATGGCTTTTTCGATTATTTGCCGCTTTAAAGGTAAACTTGGCCTCAGTAAGGGGAGGCTCTCCTGCTGGCCGAGCATGGAGCCTTCGCCCGCCGTCCACCACGGTACGGTGGCAGCTTTTACAGAAGGCTCTTGGCCCCCCCTCGGCCAGGCTGGCTTCTTAACTTGGATTTCTAGTTCGGCTGTTTTTTTTCTTTTTGTTTGTTTGTTTGTTTGTTTAATATTTTATTTATTTGACTTTCCTGGAGTTAAAATGGTGCCCATGAACAACCACGCAAGGCTGTCGAAGACTATTGGCCCAAGGGCATGACAATTCAGTTTTTCTTAATGCCTCATACATGGTGTATATCATCTTCTTTTTTTTTATTTTTAGGATTTTATTTATTTATTCATGAGACAGAGAGAGAGAGAGAGAACAAGAGAGAGAGAGAGAGAACGAGAGAGAGAGAGAGAGAACGAGAGACAGGCAGAGGGAGAAGCAGGCTCCATGCAGGAAGCCCGATGTGGGACTCAATCCCGGGTCTCCAGGATCACGCCCTGGGCTGAAGGTGGCGCTAAACCGCTGAGCCACCCGGGCTGCCCTAAACATACCATCTTCTAATTATGTCCATTTTATTTCCTTATTCTGAAAAATATTCTTACATATATAAAAACTGGAAACCAGGGGCAGCTGGGTGGCTTGGTGGGTTATGTGTCTGTCTCTTGGTTTCAGCTCAGGTCATGACCTTGCAGTCAAACCAGGAGAGAATTAAAAGCATTCTGAAAGCAACTTAACCATCCTAAGAATGCCCACTCTCCCCAGGCCTTTGGGGCGTGGGTGGCACCGTCTCGAAGGACGAGCAGGCATTATTTCAGTACTGAATGCCCCTCTCCATCGGCCCCATCCCTCTCTACTCTTTAAATCAACTGCGCAGCTCATCAGCTATCTGGTCCCGCTGAGTCACATTCTTAAGTTCGTCTCCAACCCCTTGCCATTTTCATAGTCGTGATCCTATCGCTTCTGTCTGGGTCCTACAGTTTCCTCTGTCTTCCATTCCCTGTCCACAACCTCTCCTCCAAGCCACTGCCAGATGACCTGCTTCCTCTCAGGTCAGACCATGTCATCCCTAACACACCTGAACGTAGCCCCATCTCACCTTGGGGTGCTCAAGACCCCACCCCTTGACGGTGCGAGCCATCTTGTTTACAATGAGTCCCCAGTTTTCCTTTGCAGAGTCCTCTTCCAACATGCTGCCCCCACGATGACTGTGCTGACTAACGTCATGGGCCAACCCGCCTGGGCTGAGGGACGCCCGGATCCTGGTAAAACGTTATTTTGGGGTGTGTCTGTGCAGGTGTTCCCATTCGAATCCATAGACTGAGTAAAGAACATGACCCTCACCCCCTCACCAGTACAGGGGGGCCCCATCCAATCTGTTGAGGGTCCGAATAGAACAAAAAAGTGGAGGAATGACAAGTTCTCTCTCTTCTTGAGCTGAGACATCCATCTTCCCCTGTCCTTGGTCATCGGAGCTCCCGTTTCTTGGTCTTTTGAACTCGGACTGAATCACACCACGTTTTCCTCGTTCTCTGGCTTGCAGGAGGCAGGTACCATGGCCTGTCTCAGCCTCCAAAATTGCATGAGCCAATTCCCCTAATAAATCTCCCCCTACCTCTGTCTATAAATCCTGTTTGTTCTGTTTCCCTGGAGAACCCTGACCAACACAGGGACGTTCCACCGATGAAGACTCCCTGACCAAGCCTGACGCAGATAGGCATCGCTAAGCCCTCTTCCTGACTCGGCCTCAAGCCTGGCCTCTAAAAACTGCAGTCACGTAGCACGAATGTCTTTGTCGGCCTCCCTTCCCCCACCCCGCACACACTAAGAGACTTGAACAGTCAAACAGCTCCCAACAACTCAAGGCTGCATCCCTAGGGTGATGAGCTGGCCCCAATTAAGCCTCTGCCTAAGAAAGCTAGCACTGCCAGGAAGATTCACTCTGTGTTCCAGCAGAAATCCGGTGAGAGACAGGCCGTGAACCCCGCCTTAGACCCGTTAGGTTAGAAAGCTTGTGCTTACAAATCCTTCCTCTGCCGTCCAGCCCTGCCTCCTCAAGGACCCGCGGGCTGTCTCTCTGAAGCACAAACATTCCAGATCACCCTCCCCGCTTGGCCGCGGGGAGCACCTTGCTCTAACTTGCAAGAACACTGCCCCCCATCATCAAGATATGCATGCGCACTACGTCCCCTCGGGCTCCCTGGGTCTTTATTTTGCTTCTGCAGCTTTGCCTGACATGCCCCTACCGCCTTCTCCACCCTTCCTTCAGGCCAACCAGGCTCATCTCCCGAGACCAGCTCGAATGTCCCCTTTTGTAAAGCCTTCTCTGATGCTCCTCTCTCAGCCTCTTATGTTCCTGGGGTTTGGGGACCATCATTTCTCTGGTCACAGAGGTTGCATTCATGGGTCTATGTCTTTGGGGCCACGGAGGCTCGATCTGCCCACACTCCGGTCCCTGAATCCGTTTCCAGCACACGGAGGAGGTTGTACATGCACAAGGGAGCTGGTAACGAGGGCAAGAGGTCAAACCTGGCTTTCCAGGGTGTTCCCAACTCATCCCGAGGCCGGTCTCCCTCGCTGCAAGGGAGAAGGTAAGGGGAGGCCTTCCCAGTGAGGCTGCCCGTGGGCACCACCTGGCACTGCTTCTGAGGCACTGATGCCAGGGCCCCACTCAGACCCGCTGGGCCAGAATCACTGGCAAGGCACCTGCGATCTACGTCCAAAGCTCCCTGAGTGCCTCAGACCCCCGGCCAGGCTGAGAAGTGGGGGCCCGAGGCCCTCCCGGCTGGAACACGCTTGGCTGCGCTTGCCCGGCCAGTGGCCTGTTGGTTACGGCTGGCCTCGCAGCATCAGACCAGCTGCATTGGAATACTGCCTCTGTTTCACTAGATGCCTGACTTTGGTGGTGGTTGTTGTGACAAGAACCAGAGAAGACTTTATTGATAGAAGAGTCAATCCACCAAGAAGAGGTAACAGTTATAAACCGATGTGCTCCAAACATCAGAGGTCCTAGATTTATTTATTTTTAATTTTTTAGTATTACTTTCAGGTAGAGGTCAGTGATTCATCAGTTTATATAACACCCAGTGCTCATCCCGTCACGTGCCCTCCTTCATGCCCGTCACCCAGCGACCCCAGCCCCCCAAACTCCTCACCTCCAACAATCTTCTGTTTGCTTCCTACAGAGTCTCTCTTGGTTTGTCTTCCTCTCTGATTTCATCTTGTTTCATTTTTTCCCTCTCTTCCCCTATGATCTTCTGTGTTGTTTCTTAAATGCCACACGAGTGGGATCATATGATAACCGTCTTTCTCTGATTGACTGGTTTCGCTCAGCATAATACCCTCAAGTTCCATCCACGTCATTGCAAATAGCAACATTTCATTTTTTGGATGGCTGAGTCATATTCCGTTGTATGTATAGACATCTTCTCTATCCTTTCATCTTTTGATGGACTTCTGGGCTCTTTCCACAGTTTGGCTATTGTGGACACTGCTGCTATGAACATTGAGGTACAGGTGCCCCTTCAGATCATTACATTTGTAATAAATACCCCGTAGTGCAATGGCTGGGTCATAGGGTAGCTCTATTTTCAACCTTTTGAGGACCCTCCACACTGCCTTCCAGAGTGGCTGCACCAGCTTGCATCCGCACCAAGAGTTCAAGAGGGTTCCCCTTTCTCCATGGATGCCTGGCTTTTTACACCTCAGTTTCTGCATCTGTAAAATGGGTTTCGTCTCATTGAGTATTGTGAGAAATAAGACAGTTGATGAGCTTAGGATGGCATCTGGTGCATGATGATCCTGCCCAGAACGTTAGCATCTACTACTGATTCCATCATTACTCCCAGGCCCTGAAGACAAGAACAAGAAGCCGCAGGAGGGTGGGGATAAGTCCTAGCACAGAACCTACAGAAATTCACATGCTTCATACTTTTGTTGAGTGAATCAGTGAAAGAAGCATCCCAGACCTTCCTGCTTTGACCTTGGGGACACGGTTTCCATTATTTAAGCAAAGCCACTAACCATTAGAAGCAGAGCTGCTCCAAGCTTCCAGCCCCATCCTCCTTAGAACGTGGATTTCCAAATACTCTGCAGTTTTTTGGCTTTTAGAACAACAACAACAACAACTACTACTACTACTTTCTCTTTGCCCGCACAGCACAATTTACCCCAAAGGGGGTACTCATGGATTCAGAGCTTGTCATCTTTGTTCAAGACAGTAATTCCTTTTAGAATTTTTCCTAAGACCAAGCTGTTGCTGGTCACAGAGATATGCGCGCATGACTACGCACACTCACACACACATGCACTCGGAACACACAAAACCAGTAAAATCAGGCATCAAGAAAGCACTTTCTCGCTTTCGCCAACACTTGCCGTATAGAACATGGCCATCCGGTGTCTGGACGGGCTGTCCCAGAAGTTGAGGTAGCAAAGGATGTACACGGCCCCCACGAGCAGATTGAACAGCCTCCAGTGGCAGGTGCTGTCGACGACGTCACTCTGCTGGGCCACAAGCCAGAAGGTCATCACCAGCCAGTGGGCACCTGGAGGAGGCGGGCCGAGGGCGTCAGGGTGCGGGAGGGGAGGTGGGGAGGTGGGGAGGGGGCGAGGCAAGGACACGGTCCTCTCTGCTCTGACCACACCTGACTCGGCCTCCGGGAAGGCCGCTCAAAGCCCAGAGGAGATTCCAGGAGCACAGCAAACCAATACCTTTTATCTTTGCCCGGATTATCTCATTTGAGCCTCATAAAGGGCAGGGAACTGATTTGGGGACGAGAAAACAGAGACTAGCTTCATTGACACCTCCCCATCGTCACTTCCGGGCGCCCAGCACTTCTAGTTCCCGGAGGAGACGGAAACCTCGAGGCTCCCCAGGTGTTTAGTCACCGCTTCGAGAGCCAACGGCCTCTGCGTCCCAAGGAACGGGCTGCACGTGGGCCAGCTGTCAAGTTCATTCCTGTATTTTAAGATGAATAATATCTCCCTGAAGTCTGAGCTGAATTTTTTTAAAAATGGGTAAAACAGCTAATCTATCTTTGGGAGCACAGTTTCAGGAGTTTCTCCTTTCCGCCAACAGGTGTATTCATGCTCAATCGGGGCTCACGTCGGAACAGTTCTCAACGCCTCCTGTCCTCTCGCAGCACGAGCACACCGTTCCTTCCTGCACAGCGTACGCCCTGACGGCCAGAGGAGACAGCTGTCCGTGGCAGGGGACACCCGGACCCCTGCGGGGCTGCTGTCCGCACTCCGTGCGGCTAGACTGAGCTGGGGGCGGGGGGCTGGCTGGGTGGAGATGCCCTCCTGGAAACAGAGAAGAGGCCCCAAATCCGGCGTTCAGAAGGACTCCTGGAGGGATTTCAGAAGCTACAGTGCGTGCCGTCTGCCGTTGGATGGGGTCAGGTCAGGCAGAACCCTGTGCCTGTTTCTCTACAGGAAAGATTCCAGCCCGTGATCCAGAGCAGGGTCTCCGAGCAGGCCCCACGGCAGCTGCAGGGGGGCCCCGGGGCGGGCAGGGCGCCGAGGGCTCGGCTATCTAGGTATGGGAGCAGGGGCGCCTGGGGGCTCAGCGGTGGAGCGTCTGCCCTCGGCTCAGGGCGGGACCCTGGGGTCCTGGGATCGAGTCCCGCGTCGGGCTCCCTGCAGGGAGCCTGCTTCTCCCTCTGCCTGTGTCTCTGCTTCTCTCCGTGTCTCTGATGAGTAAATAAATAAAATCTTTAAAAAGAATAAAAAGTGGGCAGCCCAGGTAGCTCAGCGGTTTAGCACCACCTTCAGCCCAGGGCATGACCCCGGGTCCTGGGATCGAGTCCTGCATCGGGCTCCCTGCAGGGAGCCTGCTTCTCCCTCTGCCTGGGTCTCTGCCTCTCTCTGTGTCTCTCATGAATAAATAAATAAAATCTTTAAAAAAAATAAAAAGCTATGGGAGCAGATCCCCAAAGACAGGCACCCATGCTCCTTACCTCCCTGGACACCCGTGGGGGCCAGAGTTGACCCCACGCTCCTGAGTCTGGACTGGGCCTGACCACTCTGACGGGCAGAGGGTGGCGGCAGCCGTGCTGACCCACGGCTGGGCCAGTGTGAAGGGACTGGGAGCCTCCCGTCGCGTCCCCCTCGAATTCCCAGCAGCCACGTCACAGGTCCGCGGACTCTGCTGCCGAGAAGGGGCCCAGGAGGCACCCCAGGGCACGGGGCCCAGGAGCCGAGACGCTGTGTGCACGGCAGCCCTGGGCAGCCTCCTAGGAGTCCAGACAGCCAGCATCCTACCGCACCCACCTGCGATGCTGCCAGGTGCCCGGTGAGCCCCCCCCAGACCCGAGGTTCCTGGTCGCAAACGGTGACTTTAAGGCATGAGGTTCTGGGGGGCGGTTTGTGACGCCACAAGTGGCAGCTCGACCAGAAGCGCCGCTTACCTCCAACCACCAGGACCCAGGCGTGGTAAGCTCTGGAGAAGAGGGCCAGGCTGAGGACACGGGCCCCCAGCATGCCCATCCTCCAGAGCTGCTGGCAGAAGAGGGCGGCCCACGGGGCGGGCAGGCGGCCCGGCTTCAGGAGGCCTGCGAGGCGAGCGTAGCACACCAGAGCCCAGGACAGCGCGGCCCAGGAGCACAGGGCGCTCACCCCTGCAAGGGAAGCGGACGGCTAAGCTCACCGGGAAACCCGGCTTTGCAGGGGCGTCCCTCACCAAGCACCCCGGTAGCCGGGTAGCAGGACAACTCTGTGCACAGACGTGGGGACACATGGGAGGTCCCTCCTCTGCAACGTGGTGGGCGCTGCGCCCCAGCAAGCGAGGGGGCGCTTCCTTCCTGGCCCCCGATGTCTCAGCCCAAGCAGCCGGGCAGCCCTGAACACCATATTCCCTCCCCCAGGTGCCTACACAGGAGCTTTAGTCCCAGAAATAAAACCAGGACATAAATGGTGCCAGGCCACACAGTAAGGACGACAGGAGGACCGCGCAGTCGTCACTTTTATGTATGTCGTGAAAGCGCACACAAGAGCGGACGCTCGGCACAGAGGAGGAGGAGGAGGAGGAGGATGCTGGGGGAGAATCGGGAAGTGTCCAAGAGAAAAGAAGACAGAGAGAGAGGCAGAGCGAGCCTTCGCCGTCGCACACGCAGGCTGGACTCATGTCTGCAGGCCAGAGCCGCTCTGTGTCCACGAGGCTCTCGGGGCCCAGCGCCTGGCTGCGCCCAGAGGGCAGGGGAGAAAGGGACGTACTGGCCCTGTAAGGAGCAGCGTGGGCCCCTCCCCAGGCTGTTTTCAAGGTAACGCGGCCACCTACACTTTCTGCTGTGTGGACGGACCCCATGCAAGGGCTGATCCCAACCACCGTCTCGTGCTGCTGAGTGCGGGCTGCCCTCTTTGTCCCAAGCAGGGGCCGTCTTGGAAGCCCAGGCCTCACTAGTCAGGCGCCCACTTCTAGTCCCCTCCAGAGGTCAGAGGGTCTGGACTCGGGGCGGGGTGGGGAGCGGGGGGTGAACTCTTCTCACCTGGCACCAGCTCTGTGAAGTCTGAGGCGAGGAAAACATGCGTTTGAAGCAGCAGGTGGGGCCCGGTCTGCATCAGGGCTTCCAGAAGGCGGAGGGCAGACAGGTCGGCCTCCTGCAGCAGCAGCTGGTCGCGGCGGGAGGCTTCCCCCTCCTTCGACAGAGCGGAGGACGCAGCGTCCCAATGCCTGAGGAAGAACCGGGGCGGGGAGCAGCCTAAACGGGAGGCCCCACACCCCTGCCTGCCTCCTGGCTGCGAGAGTCGGGCGTCCCACCGCACGAGCTGCCCTGTCTCCACAGCAGGGCCCCGCCTCGGGCTGCACCCTCAAGTCGTCAGGCCTAGCCCAGCTGCGCGAGGGCCATCCTGCTGCGGGGGGCTGGCCGGAGGCCCACTATGCCCCACGTGGGGGGGAGGGCGAGGGACAGAGTGGCCCGACAGGCCTGCGGGGGCTGCCCCCTCCTGAACTCCTCTGGGAAGCTCTGTTCCGGGGACGTGGGGACAGTCTCAGAAGGGGGGGCCTCTGGGGGGTCAGCGGGGCTGGGTGAGGGCAGCAGGTGTCCCCTGATGGGAGCAGCGCCCGTCCGAGGGGGAAGAGCGGCCGCTGCCCTTGGCGCTCCGAGCCCTCGCTCACATGCCCGGGGAAGGCCGCGGGAGCACCAGCAGGGTCACCGTCCGCAGCCCAGGAACCGGGCGCTTCCGTCCTCCGGGGTGCGAGCCACCCCCCGCCTGTTGTACCATCTGCCGTGTGTGCGTGTGCACACGCCACATCCCTACGCGTGTGTCACCATGTTCGCGTGCTGGAGGAAGGAAGCGAAGTGATGCAGCTCGGGTGACGAGGGAGTGGCGGGGACGGCAGGAAGGGGTAGGTGAAGGTGGACGGGGACCCGGCGGCCGACAAGCAGAGCTGGGCTTCCAGCCTCCGCGGCACACTCGTGTGTGGGAGCCGGTCTGGTGGGGAGGACACGCGTCCTCGGAAGCGAGGCAGAGAGGGGCCTGGGTGACGGTGATGTGTGAGACTCGGGGACGGGCAGGCAGTGGCTGTGGCTGTGCGTAGGCCCGGGTGGCCCGGGGACACTGTGGCGGGACAGTGGGGGCGCACGCACAGAGCCCGGGGACCGTCCCCACTCAGGGGCCCACAGGAGAGGGAGAGGCAGGAGACGCTGGGCGGACAGACGCAGGACGCAGGGAGCGGGCATGGGGTCCTCATCAAGGGCCACGGGAACCAGGTGACGTGCACAACGCCAATAGGAGGCTGGGGCGTGCAGGGCCTCATCTCCGGAGGCAGGCGGCCCAGAGGCCAGTGGTCACGCGCCACGGGGACACAGCAGCCCCCCCAGGCCGGGCCACCTCCCTACGGCCGAGGGAAGGACTCAACATCAGGGAAGCTTGGGAGGGTTCCCGTCTCACTCTGCTTCCCATACACCCACCCCAGGACCTGTGGCTGGGCTCCCGAGGCTGCTGGAAGGGGCGTGGGTCCCCACCCCCTGCCACCCCAGGAGCCGTGTAGCGTCCGCCAAGATGAAACCACCGCCAGGCCCACTCGGTGCCGTGGACCTGGGGCTGTGGCGCAGGCTCCTCCCCGGTGCGCCCCCGGCCAGCAGCGCGCTCAGGGCAGGGCCAGGGCTGCTGACCACACCTGCCCCTGCCTCTCCCAGGGAAGAAGAACCGGAGGGAGGTCACTGTAGTCGCCTGCTCCTGAGTCAGAGCAGGCTGCACCTTAAGGTCCCCTGGAAAGCTCCCCTCAAGGGTTCCCCTTGGACTCTGGCTGTGCCGGCGACAGGCCCCACTCTGATCCCAGGCCAATGGGTCAGGGGCCAGAGAGGACGGGGGCCCCCTTTGAAAGGGGTTTAACCCTGGCTCCCAGGGCTCAGGAAAGGTGCCCCAGGAGGAGTGCTCTTTTTTCATGATCCGGAATCCCAGAGTGAGCGGATTTCTTGCTGAGTCTTTGAAGCCGTGATCTCTGACACGAACATCATGTCAAGAGAAAACCCCAACAATGAGGACAACCAAGAAGGTCCTGACTAAGCATCAGGGGCTGCAGCTTTCCCTCCAGGCCCGAGCCATGTGTTCTCCCGAGGTCGCTGAGGCCTTGGCCCGCTCAGCGGGTTTTGCCACCTGCTGGAGACCACAGAGGTAGGCCCAGAGGAAAGGGGAGACTGGCCCGGGAGCCCCAAGCCCGCGGGGGGAAGAAACTGTACGCCCGCGAAGTTTAAGCAGGAAGAAAATCGGATCTAATGGAGCCGCGGATCCCCGGGGGATAGAGTCTGGGGCCCGAGGAGGTGGTCAGCGAGGGCTCCCGGCAAAGGAGAGGACGGGCGGACGGGAGCAAGGTGTCAGGGAGCACGTGTGGCATGGGCGGGGCTGAACTGTGGGTCCCCGCTGGGGACAGTGAGGTCGGGCAGACAGCAGGAGCCTCAGGAACGTGGCTTGGGCCTCGTTTCTAGGAAACAAAGAGCTGGGGTTGGGGTGGGGGGGATGCAATCCACCTGGTTTTGTGACTGGGCCGTCTGGACCCCGTGGCAGCAAGAGGAAATCAGGCTGACATCACTGGGTCAGGCTCATAGGGGGGCCCGGGGGGGGGGCGGCTATGGGAAGGGGGAGGGCTGGTCACTGGCTCCTGGGGGTGCTCATTCCACATCCCCACCGACTCCGGCCTGCATTGCTGGCTGCCTGCCCGGCCCCTGCTCTCTCCGCACTGTGCCCACTGCCTCTACTGTCCTCACGGCCATCTCCCGAGGGGCCTCATTTGACTGTTATCCTTTGCTTGAACCTTCCCATTGGGTCTCCCATGCCCAAACTCCTCCCTGCAGCGTGCAGCCCCCCCCCCCCCACCCCGTGCTAGGGCTCCCTCCCAAACTCGAGCTTTAGTCACCTGGAGGCCTGTGCTAAGTACAGGGGCTGGGCCCCAGGCCCAGAACTTCTGGTTCCACCAATGCACTTGGAGGATCACAGGAAGTCTGCTGCGGCCTGACGCGGTCCGGGATGATGAGTGGCTGGTCCCCGACCGCCCCAGGCTGTGCCCTCAGCACTGCGAACACTTCCTCTCTGCTCCGCGGAGTTCCCTGCTTTCAGCTGTGTCCCCACTTAGCCCTCACTCAGGACCACATCTCCATCACGTGTTTCCAGGCCCTACTGCCACACGCATCTCCACGCGTGAACAAGGGCATACCGAGGGCAGCCCAGGTGGCTCAACAGTTTAGCACCGCCTTCAGCCCAGGGTGTGGCCCTGGAGTCCCAGGATCAAGTCCCACATCGGGCTCCCTGGAGGGAGCCTGTTTCTCCCTTTGCCTGTATTTCTGCCTCCCTCTCTCTCTCTCTCTCTCTCTCTCTATCTCTCTGTGTCTCTCATGAATAAATAAATAAAATCTTAAAAAAAAAAAAAAGAACTTTCAGCTTCTGCTAAAGAAAAATTTCTAAACCAAGGCAGGTCCTAAGGTTGGGATGAATTGAGTATTCCTTGATCACTTCATGCTGAGGTTCCAAATGAATTTATAGGCTTAAATATTTTTTTAAAAAGATGCTGGGACCATGTAGCATTATAGTGGAAATATAAACACCACACGGAGAAAAGTAGCTGACTTTGTTTAAACAAGTAGTCACTAATGGCACGGTCAGTTGAATAGAGTCACACTTAATATATATATTATTTGGAATAAATATTATTGGAATAAATATAATATAAATAGCAAAATATATATTACTATCTACATATTATTTGGAATAAAAATACATGTTTTCAGTGCTTATATTTTTCATAAGCCACTGTGCCTCAAGAGGTTCATGTTTTGTTGGTTTTTCTATTATTAGTAGCTGCTTCTGCATTACATTATAAAGTCACTTTATAATGATCCATTCTTAAATGTTAGGATTGTGCAAAAAGCAATTGTTTTGGCTCCTCCTACAGGTGCTTTTGCAAAACTGCACATTCCTGAAACATCTTTGCAGGCCCTGAAGAAAAGTCTTGCAAAATTCAGGGTGGATTTGCTTAAAGACAGCATGTCACCAGTTTTCTTGGTGGGAACCAAACGGCCAGATCCTGGATGAGGAATAGATCAGCTGTTTTCTATTTCAGATTTCAAAGCTTTCTTCTAAGGCAGTGGACTTCTGTTTGTGTGTTTGGTTCACTTTTAAAATTTCAGAAACACTGCAAGCCATGTAGCTTCTTGTGCCTGCTGGGCTGTTTATAAAACTTGGAGCCATATTTTATTTTTCTCTCCCTCCCCTTATGCTCTTTGGTTTTGTTTCTTAAATTCCACATATGAGTTAGATCGTACAATAATTATCTTTCTCTGATTGACTTATTTTTGCTTAACATAATGCCCTCTAGTTCCATCCATGTCCTTGCAAATGTTAAGATTTCTTTTTTTGAAGACTGAGTAATCTTTCTTTTTTTTCTTTTTCCCTTTTTCTCTTTCTTTCTTTGTAAGATTTTATTTATTTATTCATGAGACACACACACAGAGAGGCAAAGACATAGGCAGATGCAGACTCAATCCCAGGACCCCGGGATCATGACCTGAGCCAAAGACAGATGCTCAACCACTGAGCCAACCAAGGGCCCCGATGCCTGAGTAATATTTCATTGTATATATATCACATCTTCTTTATCCATTCATCTGTCAGTGGACATCTTGGATCTTTCCACAGTTCGGCTATTGTGGACACCGCTGCTATGCACACTGGGGTGCAGGTGCCCCTTTGAATCACTGTATCCTTTGGGTAAATACCCAGTAGTGCAATTGCTGGGTCAGAGGGTAGCTCTATTTTCAACCTTTTGAGGAACCTCCACACTGTTTTCCAGAGTGGCTCCATCAGTTTGCATTCCCACCAACAGTGCAAGAAGGTCCCCCTTTCTCCACACCCTAGCCAACATCTGTCATTTTCTGACTTATTAATTTTAGCCATTCTGACTGGTGTGAGCTGGTATCTCATTGCAGTTTTGATTTGCGCTTCCCTGGTGCCGAGTCATGAGGAGCATTTCTTCATGTGTCTGTTGGCCATGGGTATGTCTTCTTTGGAGAAATATCTGTTCATGTCTTCTGCCCATTTCTTGACTGGATTCTTTGTGTTTTGGGTGTTGAGTTCGATAAGTTCCTTATAGATCTTGGATACTAGACCTTTATCTCATCTATCATTTGCAAATATCTTCTCCCATTCTGTCCGTTGTCTTTTGGTTTTGTCGACTCTTTCCTTTGCTGTGCTTTGGGATGGGGTGATTGGGTGCTGGGCATTAAGGAGGGCACGTGATAGAACGAGCATTGGGCATTACATACAACTGATGATGAGTCTTTAAACTCTACCTCTGAAACTAATAATACACTGTATGCTAACTCACTGAATTAAAAAAAAAACTTAGAACCAAATTTGTGGCTGTGAACAACTGTGTATTTTCACTTTGTCCCGTTTTCTGACATATCATTACTGTTTCTGACTTTTCTCATCTTTTTTTTTTTCCCTTTCAAATTATGTGGATTTTTAAAATTCCCCTTATTTTTTAAAATAAAAAGAGATACAGATGACTAGTTGTTTTTCCTGAGGCCTAATTTTCATGACTCTCTTCCTGTATCCAACTTTAGTGTTAATACGTATCAGAAACACACAGCACCACTTACTAAATTTGAGGGAGCATGGAGAAGAAAAGACTGTGGAGTCACAGGTGGACACCACAGAGTGAATACAGATGCATCGTGGGCCTGAGACAGCCCCATCCCAGCGGAAGGCACTGGATCAGAAGGGCCCTTATATAGTCCCAGAAGGCAGACTTCTCGGGCAATTAGTCTGGAAGCTTCTCTCAAGTGACTAGCATCCACTCAACTCTCCTTTTGAGTTATCAAATATTTGGTTATTTGTCCTCAAGGGCACCCCAGCCCTTAGTGGGTTTCCTACTAGGCCGGGCTGAGGGAAGGGGCTGACAATCTCTCCTGTGGTAGAAGGTGCCCAGTAGGACCTCAAATCTTTGATGAGTCTGAGGCAAAAACCATCCTTGCTCTCCTCCCACAAGTAAGAGTTCCATCTTTTCAGAGGAGCCACACTGCTTGGACACAAAGGCCCAGCTTTGGGCAAAACTGTTGTGGTTACAGATGTGCTTTTGGTGCCTTCAAGAGATGGAGGGCTCCAGCTCTGAGGGGCCCAGTCAAATCTGGGGTGGTTACCCGATGTCTTTATTAGAAGCGTCCTCTACCTCCTATTTGAGATTCTACGCTGTATGGAAAGGAGTCATTCCTCCTTTCGATTCAGCTAAGAAACCAGAAAACTTATTTCAGTTCCTCCAGAGAAAGCCTTGGGACAGGCTGAAGGCATAAGCCACCAAGACAGCTGATAGCACAGCCTGAGAGCTAACGTGCTCTGAGTTCCTGAACACCCTTCCCATCCTGAGCATCTATGACTTCACGAACACGTGAGCGCATGGCCTCAATAATCCCCAAACTCTTCTCCCCTTTTTTATTCCTGACAACTATGGGATTATGAGGTGGCTAAGAGCTGAAATTTGCCATTTAATAAGCTCACTGACAGACCTCTCCAGACACTCCAGGTACCAGGGATCTGGGTTCTCCCAGTGAAAACAGGATCGTACCTGCAGAGGTGAGCCACAGGTAAGGAGACTGGGCACTAGGCCCACTGAGGCTGTTCTGTTTATGGAAAAAAAAAAAAAATGGGCCTGGCTCCTAGATGGCTTCATCCTGAAACAAGGCCTTGATGCAAATGTCACCAGGCCAGCTCCATGGCCTAGTCTGTGGCTAAATCCATGTCACCTTCTTCAGCCGGTAGCAGGACTTTAAATACAACTGCCCTAAGCGAGGCACTTTCTATGGCTCCAAAGCCTTGACCAATAAAATGAAACAAGAGGAAGACAGAATTTGGCCAAAAACAAAACAAAAAAAAGTTTTGAAGGGTCACAGCTGCTTCTGGGAGGTGCTTCCTGATGACAGAAATGCTCAAGGAAGAGGGGATGCCTGTATGCGAGTGGGGGTTCAACGTAGGGGCTTTGGGCTTTCTTCCAAACCTGAACATTGATGACCCTCGGGGCAGGATGCATGTGCTCCTACTGCACTTAGGAAATCACGCCCTGCAGGTGAGAGGGGGCTGCGCGCTCTTACCGCTTCCACACGCCAAGCTGAAGGAGGTGTAGCACGACCAACAAGCCATGACCTTGCTGTCCATCTGCCCGGAACCACAGGTAGCTCAGAACCTGGACCAGGCAGCCCGGCAGCAGCAGAGCAAGGGCCAGCCAGCCCCAGAGGAGCTGTCCCGTGGTGAAGTAGTGAACCACGCAGCAGAGGCCTGTGGGCCGAGACGGGAAAGACAAGCGGGTGAGCGGGAGGCGGGAGGGGACACTGAGGGACCCGCCAATGCTGACCGCCCCCAGCACCAGCCGGGCTCCCACTGACCCAGCCCAGAAGCAGGCAGTGCCAGCTGGCGTTCTAGACGGGTGTGAGGTGGAATGAAGGCGCCAGGGCTTTCTGGGGGTCCCAGAACACCAGACACCAGGGTCGCAGACAGGGGCTGTTGGATTGCATAGGATAGCACGCACAAAAAGTACTTGGCACCTGGTACGTGCATTTAAAAACGCTAATCCTCCTCTCTGGGGATTTATTTTTTTAATTTGTGAGGATGCTAGGGCAGGGCAACATGGTGGACAGAGACAAATGTAGGTTAGGATCTGCACTCCCAATCTGCGACAGTGGGGGGGGGGCTTGTGGGCGCGCAGCACTGCTAGATGCACAAATCACTGTACTCCTTTCACAGGATCATCTCTTGGGGTTTCCAATATTAAAGTTTAAAATGGATTTATGGGCACATAAAGCTGGGAAAGTAGTGGAAACACAGCACTGCCCAGTAGGAACCCTGCAGGTCTGGATGGAGGGCCGGGAATGGCCAGGCTCTGTGCTGGGAGTGCTGGCCAGCCGGCCTTCCTGCTCCCCTCCCCTCAACACCCCCTCCCTGAGGAAGCGAGGAAGCGAGGTAAAGCAGGGTCTTGGGCACAAGAAGCCTGTGGGGTCCCCGCCCGCCTAGGCCAAGCAGCGAGGAGGAGGCCTTAGTGGGTGCTAGACGGGGAGGGATGGAGAGGACAAGGTCTGCGCGGCCTCTGGGCCTCTGGGCCTCTGGGCGGGGTGCTACGGGGAGGGTCCTGTGTGGTCCGGGGCCTGCAGGTCGGCCCGGGCCTCTGAACCCCCTGCGGGGCGCCCCGGGCACCCACGGGGACAGCGGTGCCAACTGGAGACCCCCAGCGCCCAGGCACCAGGTCACTCCGGGGGGGACGTTGAGGCAGGGCCCGGGCCCCAACACGGGCTGCAGGGGCGCGGGGGGGGGGGCTCAGCAAACCCCCGCCCGCCCGGGACCCGCGGAGGCCGCCCCTGCAGCAGGGAGCCCGGCGGGCGGGGCCTCCCCCGCGGCACCGAAAGGGTTACCGAGTTCAAACCAGAAAGGGCGCTAAAGCGAGTTGCCTACGTGCGCCCGGATGGCGGGGCCCCGGCGGGCGACCCGGGCCGCGAGCCCCCACCGACCCGGGCCCACGGGGACTCGGGCGCGGGGCGCAGGCAGGCCCCGGCTCTGCACGGCCCGGCCGTGGGGGGGCGCGGGCGGGAGGGCAGGTGCCCGGGTCCTGGGGAGGCCGGCGGGGACGCGGCGGGCGGGGGTGGGGGAGGGGCGGGGGGACGGGGGGCGGGGGGGGGGGCCCGAGGCGCCGGGCACTCACGCGCGCTCTGCTCCGCCGCCTGCAGCAGGGCGGACAGCCCCAGGGCCCCCGCCGGCATCCTCCGCGCCGCCGCCGCCGGCCTCACCCCGCCCCCCGCCCGCCCCCCGCCGCCCCGACCACGCCCCACCCCCGCCTCCCAGTCCCCTTCCCGGACCCCCTCCCCCGCCCCTCCCCCTCCCCCTCCCCCTCCCCTTGCCCCTCCTGGTTTACCCGGCGCGGCCCGCGGAGCTAGCGGGGGCGGGGCCGGGCAGCCCGGGGGCCTGGGGGGGCCTGGGGGGGCGGGGGGGGCCGGGGGGGCAGTACCCGGCAGGCGGCCCCGGTGCGCAGGGCCGAGCGCTGGGCCTCCCGCGCCCGCAGCCCCAGCACCTCCAGCCGGTGCCCCGGACGGAGCTGCGTCGAGGCCTGCGCCCACCGCCTCCTGAGATCCCTCGGAGGGCGTTGGCCGGCCCTGCTGCCCCCCCCCCCGCCCGCAAATCCATCCCGGTCCCGTCCCCACGAGGCTGTGGCCCGGGGGCCTGAGGATGAACGGGGATCGCCAAGCGCAGGAGGTGAGCGGGAAGGTCCCCGATGCCTCCCTACACCTAGGCCGGGGATGCTTCGCCAGAGCACTCCTGCTTTTCCTTTGGGGGCACTTTGCAGCCATCGCCCCTGAGGCCAGGGCATTCGCCGCTTCCCGTGGGGTCTTGCTGTAGGGCTCGCCCTGCTTTAATCCGATGCGGTGAGGACTGCCCCCGGCCCTACAAAAACCCTGTCGTAGAAGCAGCCACCGCGGAAGAATTTACCGCCTTGAAGGGGGAAAAGAGTTGGACCACGCAGGGGACCTGTAGAGCGAGGGAGCCCGCAGAACCCCGTGGATATTTTCCGTTCACCGAAATCAAGCCCCAGGCCAGACAGCCTCAGGTCTTCTTGCAGTCTCACTGTGGTGCTTATACAATGCTCCGCTTCCTGGAAGGTAGGGCTCCTTGGTCCTAAGAGGCTCCCTGCCCTGTGGTCCCCAGGTTTCCACTCACTTTTCAGTGCATCTCTGGTTTCCCTCACAGATTCTGCTCCCCCCCCCCCCCGCCGTTCAGAGACTCCGCTGCAGGGGATCGGAGCCTCCCGGAAATCTCTAGACCCTCGTCCTCTAAGCCCACACAAGGGTACAGTTCTAAGGTCTGGGTTTTCATTTCTTTAGCTGCCGTTTATAGCAGCATGTGGGGCCCCTGAAATGTAGGTCCTGACCCCTAGTGCACAGGTCATGCTTGCCTCTGCTCTGCCTGTGCTCGCATGGCTGTTACTGCCCCACTGTCTGTCCTCACACCTGCCCCCCCCTTCCTGGTGCCTGACCCACCACCCCAACACCCCACTCCTGTCCTGGTGCCTGACCCATCACCCCGACATCCCTCCCCAGTCCTGGTGCCTGACCTGTCACCCTGACACCCCACCCCTGTCACCCCGACACCCCTCCCAGTCCTGGTGCCTGACTGGTCATTGTGACCCCCCAGTCCCATTCTTCCCCTTTCCTGTCCGACATCAGGGCCCAGGTGGAGCTGGAGGCGCTGGGAAGCTGTCCCTCGGGCCACCACAAGAAGAGTGTCTTCAGCGAGTAGGTTTGGGAAACTCGGCTCCTGGAGAGGGGGTTGTCGGGGGCCGTGGGTGGGGTGCTGGGCCCAGCCCAGAGCAGGACCAGGCGCCACGCGCGTTACCCCATCGGCCACCTGAGGGTGAAGTCCCCATCCAGGCTCCTCCGTCTGTCGCAGGAGGCCCCAAGCCGCTGTTCTCCGGGTTCACCGGGAGATGCAGGTGCCCCCTCAGAACTGCGGGGTGAACTGAGGGGCGGAATTCAAGACCTAGCGCTTCCTCCTTTAAAAGTACGTGCAAAAACAAATTGCCAATGCAGTTTACTATGGAGAGTCACGGGGAAGTTTGGGGGGGTGCATTGGGGGAGCCAATGGAGGAGGAAGCATCCCCCCAGCACCTCAGAACGGCTGTGCCCGGGCCTCACGGAGCCGGGTGGTTAGCTGATGGCTGGCAGGAGGCCTGGGCGCTGGCAAGTGGAGAGAAAGGGAGATGATTTTAAGAGAGTCACACCAAAGCCACACAGGAACAGTCTAACCTTGCGGCAGGTTAATTCAAATATTTCAAGAGCCTGACTTCATAAGTTGTCATTTGGAATGGAAGCAGGGAAGGCTGATGCTGCTGTGCGTAGACGCGCCTCCTGCCCATGCGGCCCCTCCCCGACCTGAGGAAAAGCCCCACCGGGCGCATCGGAGGCCTCCTGGCTGAGAACTGCGACAGGAGTTCGAGGATGTTGATGAAGGGACTTCATAGGTCCTCTCGATTGTTTTCTTTGCTGTGGCAAATGCCCAGCTGTGTTGTTGTTTACAAAAGAAGAAAAGAATAATCGCGGTAGAAATGAGAAGACTTTGGTCTAAAATTCACGCCTGTTCTCTCTTTTTTCCCTTAGAATGACTTCATTGTTTTTTCCTGATGTGTTACAACATCTTTTCTTCTTTTCGAAAGTTTTTATTTACATTCCAGGTAGCTAACATACAGTGTGATACTAGTTTCAGGTGTGCAATATAGTCACTCGACACTGCCTTACATCAGCCAGTGCTCAGGGCGACAGGTGCACCTCTTCCCCACCCCCACCCACCTCCCCTCTGGGGACCATTTGTTCTCTGTAGCTAACAGACTGTGTCTTGGTTTCTCTCTCTCTCTCTCTCTCTCTCTCTCTCTCTCTCTTCCCTTTGCTCATTTATTTTGTTCTTAAATTCCAAATACGAGTGCGATCTGATGGTATTTGTCTTTCTCTGACGGACTTACCTTGCTTAGTGTTATACTCTCTAGTTCCATCCCTTCATTGCAAAAGGCAAGATTTCATTTTTTTTTAATTTTTATTTATTTATTTATGATAGTCACACAGATAGAGAGAGAGAGGCAGAGACACAGGCAGAGGGAGAAGCAGGCTCCATGCACCAGGAGCCCGATGTGGGATTCGATCCCGGGTCTCCAGGATCGCGCCCTGGGCCAAAGGCAGGCACTAAACCGCTGCGCCACCCAGGGATCCCAAGATTTCATTTTTTTATGTCTGAGTCATATCCCATTGTGTATGTATCCCACATCTTCTTTATCCATTCATCAGTCAAAGAAATAAATAATCCGATTAAAAAATGAGCAGAAGACACAGACATTCCTCCAAATGCAGACGCTCAGCTGGGCAACAGACACATGAAAAGATGCTCGACATCTCTCATCCCCAGGGAAATGCAAATCAAAACCACAGTGAGACACTACCTCACACCTGTCAGAATGACTAAAATGAACAACACAAGAAACCACAGGTGTTGGCGAGGGTATGGAGAAAGGGGAGCCCCCTTGCGCTGTTGGTGGAAATGCCGACTGGTGCAGCCACTGTGCAAAACAGTATGGAGGTTCCTTAAAAAACCTAAGAGTAGAGCTACCCCACAACCCAGCAATTGCACTACTGGGTATTTACCCAAAGGATACAAAACACTCATTCAAAGGGACGCACGCACCCCGTGTTTATACAGCATGGTCTACAGTAGCCAAGCATGGACATGGTCCGCGCGTTACAACACCTCAGTGAAGCGTGTCTGGTTTTCAATGTCATATCAAATTGCTTCATTTGCATCAATTGCTTCATGCACAATCACTCTGTCCCTTCAGATTCTCCTTTCCCTATGTTGTGGCTGACAACTGTGTTTTTAGGACATTAGCCATCTTGCCATCTTTGCGACGTCCCCAGAGTCAACCCTCTGCAGAGCTGCACCATCTCACCCTCTCCTCTCCTCCCCAAGCCCCCAAGGTGTCCTCCCTACTTCTGCAGGTGTGGTGACAGGTGACGATCGCAGGTGCGGCCACCGCTGAGTTACAACTGCAGAGGCTGTGCACTCCCCTGGGGCCCGCAGCAGACACAGGGGCAAGACCGGGAGACCTTGGTGCTGTGCTGGTGGGACACTCCAGAGACCTACTGTTTACATTCAAGGATCTGGACGTTTCTGGAAATGCTGGACTCAGGTCGCCTCATTGCCTGTCACCCAGCGGGCCATCTACTGGGTGATATCAAAAGACAGGGACGAGGGCTGCTGCGCCAGATGGAGGCTGGTGGGGATAGTCTGAGCCTGGATCCAATGTCCTGAGTCTGGGATGGAGGGGGAAAGCTCCACAGAGCCCTCAGAGGACCAGCAAATGCAGCCCACAGAGAGCTGGGGTCAGGTACCTGGGACGCAGAGGAAGCAACCAGTGTAGGGAGGCATCGATAAGCAGCCCATGGAGCAGAAATCCTGCTAATCTGATACAGTGTGTTCTTCTGGAAGAGCAGATGTGACGCAGCCCCCCATCCGAAGGCCTAAGTCAAGTGAAGCAAGGGGCGGAGGTAGGACCCCCTTCCCAGCCCTCACCGCCCCCCCCAGGTGTAGCCTATACACGAGGCAGGAACGTCCAATAGGATGTGAGATTTGAGTTTAAAAATAGCCCAGCCTACATCTTCATGAGCAGAGGAGATGCTTTAATAACTGAAGGTTTCCAAAAAGTCATGCACTGGGACTGAGACACCATTAGTGGCTTTTGGTTTGTGACCTGATGAGCTGAGATGTTTCCTCCAAACCGGGAATAGTTTGTTGAGTGAATTCCCCAAAATGTTCCATGGCTGAACGAGCACGTGTGGTATGATTTGAAGGGAGGCAAAGGTGGTGGGGACGAGCGGAGCCCGGGGATGGCTTGCCAGGTCTTGTTCACTGTCAGCTGCGATGCTTCCAGCCCTGTGGGCTTCCGAGCCTCTGACTGCAGGGAACTCCTCTGTCCTTGCAAGTATTTGCTCATTCGCCGCTGAGTCAGACTCCGTGTCACCGGTGGAGGCTCTTCAACCCACAGGAGCAGAAAAACCAGCTCATTCGGGAGCCAGGCAGACAAGGAGCTGGTGGGGGGCCCCGTGCGGGCAGCCAGCCAGGCCCCTGGGCACCTGCTGCGGGACGAGGTGGCATGTGGGCACATCCCAGAGTGAGGACAGAGAGGACAGGGAATGCCCGTCCTGCTGTTGCCCAGCATCAGGCATCTCCTGAGTCCTCCTACTGACCCTGGGGTGGGGGATTTATTCAGCCAGGAAAACTCAAGTATTTGGGGGGCATGCAATAAATTAGTCCTTCTTCTTTCCCCCCCTTTTTTTACTAAGTGCTGAGCCAGTCTCCAGGGAGCCATGACCCCCCCATGGGCCCAAGTGGCCAAAGCAATGGCAACTAGATGTGCAGAAGAGGAGGGGTTGGCCCACCTGGGGTGCCATGCAGGCTTCCCTTGCAGGAGTCCCCCTCCCTGGTTAGGGACCACGTGAGGAAGATGAGCATGGGTGGAGCTGCTGTGCTTTAGGCTGGAGGGGTGGCCTGCAGCCCACGGGTCCCTGGCCCTGGGATGACTGAGTCAGGACAACACTGTCTGCCGGGGTGCACAGGTCACACTGAGGAGCGTGGCTCCAGGTGGGGTAGTCTACACATTGGAGGCGTGCTCCTGGCTGGGGCTGTGCTCTAAGGGTCGGCTAGCCCTGCTCGGGGCCGTCTCTCCCCAGCCAGGAAAGACCGCTTTGTTTTTTCATATTTTTTAAAAGGCATCAAAACATAATAAGCAGTAAATAGCATGCATACAACCCAACATTGGAATCCATGGATGTTGAGTATAGCGATCGCCTTCCAGAATGTGGGTGGGCCTCGCCCAATCAGTCGAAGGCCTCCACAGCTCACACTGACCCCCCCCCCCCCCCCCGAGAGAGAAGAAGGACCTGTCCTAGCAGCCAGCCAGCCTCTGGACGTGCACAGCAGCTCTCGTGTCCATCTCCAGCCTGTCGGCGCACCTCCGTTGGAGTCTGGACTCGCCGAGGCCCCAACTGAGCCAGTTCCTTAGGCTCTTGCTCGCCGTATATACACGCACTCACACGCATCCTGTTGGTTCTGTTTCTCTGAAGACCACTGACTGATCCGGGAGCCTTACCTCTGAGCGTGGCCATGTGCATGCGGGGCTTGGGTTCTCTCCTGTTCGTACACGTATGTTGGATGAGCATTTGGAGTAGCCTCCTCAGGGAGGCCCCGCTCCGGGGAAGCTGACGCAGCCGGAACACTACCAGCTCTTAGTGAGATCAGAACAAGAGCGCTCCCTGCAGCTGCAGCCCAGCGCCCAGCTCCCTCGCTGGACGGGGTGGCACGCCCTGAGCACTCCCCAGCAACGGAAGTCAGGAGGCACTTGGTCTGCATGTGTTTTTGCTGTCAAAAGCTGAAGCACAGAAAAAAAACAAAAACACACAAAAAAAAAACAAAAAAAAAAAAACAAAAACAAACAAACAAACAAAACAAAAACAAAAGCTGAAGCACGGGTGCCCGGGTGGCTCAGTGGTTTAGTGCTGCCTTCGGCCCAGGGCGTGATCCTGGAGTCCCGGGATCGAGTCCTGTGTCGGGCTCCCCGCAGGGAGCCTGCTTTTCCCTCTGCCTCTCTCTCTCTCTCTCTCTCTCTCTCTCTCTCTCTCTCTCTCTCTCTCTGTGTCTCTCATGAATAAATAAATAAAATCCTAAAAAAAAAAAATTGCTGAAGCAAAGCCAGGCCAAATCGTGTGTGGCGCAAGGTGTTCCCCGTTGCTCTGACGTGCCCGAGGGGTGATACACGGTCCCCTTTCCCAGGGATTCGGCTCGCAGGGTCCGGCTCTGCAGATGCGCTGCAGAGATGCTACAGGTCCTCGCCGGTTGTTTCACGCTCGCGTGCAAGCCCTGTCTGACCACAGCGCCCACGCACTGTCCCTACGGCCCACTGACCTGCTCCGGTGGACACGCCTCACCCGGGGGGTCAGCGTGTTGACCGACCCTGAGGGCACGTGCCTCATCCTTCCTCAGGGACGCAGGGACGCAGCGGGGCCCGGAACTGTGTCCGGAGCTGCCTCAAAGCAGTACTTGCTTTTCATTAAGCAGATGCTATCGTCGGAGCCAGAACTGGCCTTGTCACTGGTCTGAAGTCAGGCGGATCGCGGGCACCGGCCAGCCCTGCCCTGTGTCCCGGGCCATCTCCCTTCCGCGGTGGCTGGGGCACCGTCGTCGGCGTCCCGGTGATCACAGGTGGAGGCTGAGACGCGGGGAGTGGTGGTGACCCGGGAGCCCAGGGTGCATCCTTGGGGGAGACGGAGAAGAGGGCTGGCCTCGCTGGTCCTGCTGGAGGGGTGGGGGAGTGACCAGCGGCAAGGGCCTCGTCACCGGAGGACAGGGTTTGGGGGATGCCGGCGCTCTGCAAGCTGCAAGCCTGCAAATGCCTCGGGTGGGTGGGGGCGGTGAGTGCAAATGCCCAGGAGAGTCCGGACGGAGGGCGCAGGCATGGCTTTGCAAGGGGCTGGGGGCACGCAGCCTCTTAAACTGGGCGCTCAAGGCTGGCGCCCCCCAGTAATGGAAGCCCTGGGACCAGACGTCCCTGAGGGGGATGGGCTGCCACCGTCGTGCTCGGCTCTTGGTTCCAGGCCTGCTGTTTCTGGGTGCTGCGCTGTCGATGGTGGGAGGTCCTCCTGGGTCTACGAGCATTTGCTTGTGATCACCCTAAGTCCTCCCGGCAGGGCCGGTGGAGTCACCACAACCTCGTAAACACCAATGGATGTGAGATAAACACAGAATGTGGGTTTTTTTTTCTGCCCGAGGAACTGGGATCTTGGGAAACCCTAAACATTGGCAGCCCTAAGTGGCAAGGCTTATCTGGGAATCTGTTTTTTGATTTAACATCCAGAGGAATGCCCCCAGGGAGGACTTCCATATCTTGAAGAGGCAAGTGGATGGCGTGCCTGAGATTTCTTTTTTCTTTTCTTTTCTTTTCTTTTCTTTTCTTTTCTTTTCTTTTCTTTTCTTTTCTTTTTTAACGATTTTATTTATTTGAGAGAGCGAGAGAGCATGAGCAGGGAGGAGGGAGGAGGGAGGAGGGAGGAAGGAGGAAGGAGGAAGGGCAGAGGGAGAGGAAGAAGCAGGGAGCCCGATGCGGGGCTTGTTCCCAGGACCTTGAGCTCATGACCTGAACTGACTGAGCCACCCAGGCCCCCCCCCCCCCGAGGTTTCTTTTCAAAATAGAACTCTCCTGGATTATTTCTTAGCTTTTCAGGGGAAGGGAGAGGCCTGGATGCGCTGGAATTGACCACCTGTTGTGTGAGTGTCACAGAGAAGGCCCGGTGGGGACTCATGTCCACACCACAAACCAGCCTCCCCTCCCCCGCCCTCCCCTCACAAGAGAGGGCTGTTAATGACGGAAACTGTGTCTAGGGGAGGGGGGCAAAGGCTTCAGAATGTTTGATTTTCATTTGTGCTGATAATTTATCAACGTGGAGCATGAAGTCGTCGCTGCCAGAGTAAGGACACAGCAGAACCACGTGTGTCATCAGGAGTCATAAAACACTTATTGGGCGAAGGGGGAAAGCGAGCCATCCTGGCTCACCAACAGGGGTCTAGAGGCTGGAGGAGTGGGAGGAGGAGCAGCGGCCGGGAGGGGTGCGGTGCTTCCTTCGCTGACTCCTGGCCGGGTCCTGGGATTGTGGAGCGGCAGCCCCCGCACGAGGCCTGGCGAATGGGAGCTACGAGTGCTGTGGCCATAGCGGAGGCTCTCCAGGGCTGCGGTGGACCAACCCACAGCTGTGCGCCCCAGAAGCAGGAAAGGCAGCAGCTCCGGGCTCTGCAGATGGGCTGTTTCACAGAAGAGGCTGTGGAGGCCGCGGCGTTTGGGGTGAGCTGCTGCTGGGACCAGGGAGGGCCTCGTGTGCATTGTCCCCTCCTCGGGTGTCCTGGATCTCATGTGCACACCCTGCATCGCCCACACGTTGGTTTGGTGATGACATGTATGTAGGTGACATCGCTCAAGCTTGGTCAGCACCCCCAGCCCTATGGGCCTGCCCTGGCTCTGCCCCTCTGACCTCCATAATTTCTCAACTTCTTCCAACAGGAGATAAGATAGATTCATTTTGGTCTGAAAGAGGTATGCTTAAAAAAAAAGTCTTCTTTTATTAAAACAACGATTACAAATACTTCATTGGACTCAATGGACTTCCACACACTCTCTCCAACGGGTCCAGCTCAGAGTCAACGCATGCAGCACTTGGCCTTCCCGCGGTAACAGGTGCCATCGATCCTGGTAAAGAGCGGGCAAGGGGAGAAGTTGCAGGTGCCTCCTTTCCTGGCACAGATGTACTGGTCAGACCTCTGGCCGATCCCCGTAAAGAAGCCAGCACCTGTGAGAAGAGAAAGAAAACACTTCAGACTCATGGCTTGCGGCCACGGTGACTCTAGAACACTTGGTAAAATGACCCTTTTGGAAGCACGTCGAAGAGCCTTCTCTTCCAAGAACTTTGCACTCAGTGTATCTCTGGGGCTGCTCCAGAGACAAGGCATCGCACGGGGCCCTCATTCTGAGGTCCCTGCCAGCTGTGGCCAAACGGAAGCCAATGATGAGCAGCGGGCTTCCAGGTGCAGTTCCCTTCTGCCCAGAGAGCTTTAAGGTGTGCGGGGAATTCACGTTAGTCCCCAAAGAAGTATCCTACTACATCGTACTAAAGCCCAGACACACACCTTGCTTCAGTAATGCTGAAGTCTGTTCCTGACTCTGGGAGCATTCCTAAACTACCCACCCCACTCCCATGCTGCCTCGGTGTACCATCCCCTCCACATCTTTGCTGAAATCTGGGTTCCTTTCAGGTCACCTTGAGAGTATGGCCATGCCGTAATGCTTTCATTGGAACCGGTTTCACTGTTTCTGCTTTCTTCCCAATATCTCAGAATCTCATCATCAGAAAGTGTCTAGATGAGTCTTCTACTCGATCCAATAGAGAACGAACTGCCTACGCTATTCCCAGTAAGTGACTATCAAGCCACCGTTTTGCTTGCCTCCATGGATAGGTCTTATGGACTGAATTGTGTCACTTCCACCAAAATGTGCATGCTGATGTCTTTCTTCACTGGCCAGCGCCCCAGCATGTGACTGCATTTGGAGGCAGGGCCTTTCAAGAGCTGATGAAGGTTAGATGTGGTCATAAAAGTTGTCTCGAATCCAATGGGCCTGGGATCCTCATAAAAAGAGGATATTTGGACAAAAAGAAGGACGTGTACACGTAGAGGAAAAGCCACATGAGGGCATGACAATAGGTGGCTGCTCGTGAGCCAAGGTGAGAGGCCTCAGGAGAACTGTTAACCTGCTGACACATTGACCTTGAACTTCAAGCCTTCAGAACTGGGAGAGAATTGATTTCTGTTGCTGAGGGAGACACCCTGTGCTATTTTGTTATGTCCGCTCCAGCTGAGTAACAAAACAGGCCATCACCATCCTGGGGAACAGTCCATTCAAATGTCATGTGTCTCTACTTAATCGGAAAGATGGTTTTCATACCGATTGAGATTGTCCTCTTACTTAATCCATATCCCTGTTGCAGCTATCTCATCTGACCTAGAACTGTGAGTGTCTCATGACTAGATATTTGGCAATGTTTGGGGACATTGTTGGTTGTACAACTGTGGGGGGTGGATATTACTGTGGGGTGGATATTACAGGTATCTGGTGGGTGGAGGCCAGGGGTGCTGCCAGAGAATGGGATGCACAGAACAGCCCTCGTAACAGAGAATTATCTGGTGCTAAATGTCAGTAGCACCAAGGTTGAGAGATTGTGGTGTAGACCATTGGTTCTCCATGCTGCATACACAGTCAGCTGAGATACTCTTAAAAATAGGGACTTAACTGTTATAAGGTAGTGTTGTAGAGTTTATGTGCTAAGATTTAAAAAAAAGTGGGGGATCCCTGAGTGGCTCAGCGGTTTAGTGCCTGCCTTTGGCCCAGGGCGCGATCCTGGAGTTCTGGGATCAAGTCCTGCGTCGGGCTCCCGGCATGGAGCCAGCTTCTCCCTCTGCTTGTGTCTCTGCCTCTCTCTCTCTCTCTCTCTCTCTCTCTCAGTGTCTCTCATGAATAAATAAAATAAAATCTTTAAAAAAAAAAACAAACCTTAAATGCATTTAATGCCCAGTAAAGAATCAAGAGTTGCTGGGCCACTGGTTTTCAAATTTTAGTCAGAACTGACAGTAGAGAATTCCCTTGTCAAGACTGAGGGCAAGGATCCTGGGGTCCTAGGATCGAGTCCTGCATCAGGCTCCCCACAGGCAGCCTGCTTCTCCCTCTTCCTGTGTCTCTGCCTCTCTCTGTGTGTCTCTCATGCATAAATAAATTCTAAAAATCTTTTTTTTAAATAAATAAATTTAAAAAAAGACTGAAGGAAGACAGAAAGGAAGCAAGGACAGTGCCTTCTAGTAATTTAAAAAATTAAAATTGTTAAGAATTTAGAAATTTGAATAGTTCATGGAAATAGAAAAATTGGAAATATTCTATTCATATAGAAAAAATAGAACACTGACTTGAACAAACCTGAAAATTTAGTTGAGATAAAAAAAATCATAGAAAAACACAACTCACTAAAATAAACAAGAAGTAGAAAATATAAATAGTCCCATAATTATCAAAGAAATCGAATCCATAAATGAGATTCTTGGCTCGGATGGTTTGGTAGCAAATCCTACCAAGCAACAAATAAGAAATTGTGTCTACACAGCACACTGTTTTTCAGAATGACAAGAGAAAGAACGTTCACCAGCTCATGGTGTGATACCAACATACATGGTCTTAATATCACCATCTAAAGAGATGAGCAAGGAAAGAAAAGGCAAACTATGGCTCAACCTCCCTGACCTGCAGAGAGGCAATGATCCTATATAAAATATCAGCACACAGAATAAGTAAATAAATAAAACCAGGTTCAGTTTATTTCATAAATCCAAGCTTTCATTGAACATTTGAAGATCAGTCTGTGCCTATTAATGGTTAAAATAGAAAAATCCTATGATCATCCCAACAGATGCAGAAAAACATTGGGAAAAGTCAACACTAATGTATGATAAGAACTTAGACGGAATTTCCTTGATTTCATGAAGAAAATCTGCAGAAACCTATAACCAGCAGTACACGTAATGGTCAAACACTGAAAACTTTTCATCTGAGATACCCAGCAAGACCAGCCTAATTTCAATCATCAATTGCATTGAACGTTGTACTTGAGATACTAACCATGGAAATAGCAGAAGGAAAGAAAAATGATATAAAATTGAAAGGAAAAATAAAATTGTCATGATTTGCAGGCATTATGATTATATGTGGACAGTCTAAAAGGAATTAAAAACAAATTTAATTTAAATTTAGTTTCCTGTATATGAGATCAATATAAAAAATCAATTTTACTTCTGTGTATTGGCAACCAATGGATAAATCACCGTATTGAAATGAAAATAAATGAAATTAAAATGAATCACCATGTTGAAATATCAAATACCTAGTGTTAAATCTAAGAAAATACAATACTTCTATATGCAAGAAATACAGTATTCTTTGATAAATTAAAGAAAAACAAAATAAGTGGAAATGGTATGTTCAAGCCCTGGAAGATTAATTTTTTTCTCAAATGTTAATTTCCTCCAGATTAATCTGTAGACTTAATACCACGAAAATATCAAGATTTTTGCAGTAAAACTTGACAAGTTTATTCTAAAATTTATGTGAAAATTCAAAGGACCAAGAATAGTCAAGACACTCTTGGAGAAGAAGGTAGGAGGACTTGCTTTACTGGATTTGAGACTAATTATAGATCCACTGCAATTAGAGTGTGGTAAAGACACAAGGACAAAACATACAAATGGGACAGAGTAGAGAGTAGAGAAAGGGACCCAGGTGCATGTGTGGAGAATCAGTGTAGACCATCCACTTAGGAGAATAGTAGTGGGGAGTGGCCTCCTCAGAGCTGGTTCTGGGACACCTGGATATTCATATTGAAAAAAAAATAACTTTACCCTTAACAATGTGGCATTATCTATCAAAATTATAAATTTCTTGTGATTTTTTTAAAGATTTTTTTTATTTATTCATTTGAGAGAGAGAGAGAGTGAGAGCATGAGCAGGGCAGAGGGGTAGAGGGAGAGGGAGAAGCACACTCCCCAGCTGAGCCGAGCATGGGGCTCGATCCCAGGACCCCGAGATCATGACCTGAGCCGAAGGCAGATGCTTAATTGACTGAGCCCCCCAGGTGCCCCAATTTCTTGTGCTATTTATCTATCTATCTATCTATCTATCTATCTATCTATCTATCTATCTAATATGTGAATAACCTAGGATACACCCAGCCCCCTACCCCATGTACCTAACCAACTGAGAAGCACACACAAGCCGAGCTGTATTATTCAGCACGAGTGCCAACGTGGGAAAAGTACCAGAAATATAGGAAGTGGTTACCAGAAAGGTCAAGCGAGGATTCCCACTGGGGACGGAGCAAGGGGCAGGTGCCCGAGAAGCCTGCAGGGGTATTTCTTAGGTGCCAGCCAAGTCCTACGTCTTGACTTAAACCCTGGTCCCTGGCTGCTTGTTTCATAATAACTCATTAAGTCGTACATTCCTGGTTTATGCTCTTTTCTGGATGCATGTGATGTTTTGCAGTTAAAAAAGGAAAACAAGTAAGAGTTGCTTCTGAAAGGTGTGCACATTTCCGGAACCGTGCACGCCCCACGGTGCGTGTAGCCGCTGGTGCCCTGCCCCGTCCTCACGTGGGTGCGGTGCACCCTGCGCGCGGGCTCGGGGGTGACTCGCACCCGCTCTTCTCCCCTTCCCCGAGGGCGATGGCACTCCCCGGGACTTGGGGCTTATTCCTGTCTAGGTCCTCACCAAGCTGGCCTGGGAAATGCCATCCAGCTCATCCTGTGACGGCCACTGGAGCACCATAAACCAGAGGAACGTGGAAAAAGAGAAAACTCGCTTCTGGGTAAGAATGAGGGGTGAGCCGAGGGGGCGGGCCCGTTGGGAAAGCAGGCGTGTGCCGGTTTCTATGCTTGCCGCAAAACAGGGCCTCTTTCAAGCGTACATTTATTGACCCACTACGGCTGGATTGTCCATCGTCCCGCGTCCATGCAGCTGCAACACCAACGACTGCTCTAGTCGGCGGCAGTAACAGGTGTTGGTTGAAGGAAGGAGGCTGGATTCGGTGGCGGGGAGCTCAGTGGGTCCGTCGCGGGAGAGGGCAGGGCGGGAAGGAGTGGGTCTGGGCACGAGCACAGGAGACGCTGGATTTTGGGGGTCATCGGAAGATGCATCTGCATAAAGCAGGGACCACGCCTTTCCACGCTACTCAGGGAACATTCCCTGCGCAGGCCAGAC